TGTGTGATTCAAGGGTGATATTGTAAGGAGAAATTAGATGCTAGTCACTCTTAAAGGTCAAAGGGTTAAGACTGGTTTACACCCTTGATAAATGTTAGAAAATTGATATTTCAATATTTCCTGTCTAATTAGACTTTGTTGCCTAAAGAAGACTCAAAATCGTTGACATCCCTGATCGGTGATGAACATAATCTTCATTGAAACTTCAAACTTCATTGTAACTCGTGATTCACTGATGGGTTTTTTAGCCTTTTCACTCCCAAGATCTAATAGGTAATTATTTTCCTTGCTGTCTGCAATACAATTCTCATGATTTTTGTTTGGAGAATTTGCCATTGGGTCAACTAATAATCCCCTAAATTAGATATTTCTTTATTCTTGTCACTTCTCTGCTTGGTATGGTATTGATATTTTAAGATGAAATTCTATTTGGTCACTCTTGGTCACAGATGTGTTTCTTGAGACTAGAACCATGAACAAAAATTGCACTAGTAATTTATGGGATATAAGAGCTAGCTGACAGTTTTGGCCAACTACAAGCAAAAGCTCTTATAGGAGATTCTGAAAACTTGCAGTGGTCTTGGATTTTACTACTGACATAGGAAAACCACTTCAGCAATCATCAAAAAGTTTAAAAACATAAACGTGTTTTTGCAGTCATTAACAAGAGCATCTCAACAAATAGGTGAAAAGTGATACATGTAAACATTCACCACATACAAGGAAGTTGCTGTTTTGATTTAGTTGGCTTTGCATAATCCCCACTGAGCCTGGACTGCGATGGAGTGGGAGCTGTACTAACATTGACTTTAAAGTCTGACAATGATGCCATCAAGTCATCCAGCTCTTTGGTGGCTGTTGATGCTGTCCGTGACTGTCTGTTATCTAAGTCCCTGGTTTGCTGGACTTGGTTGCGCAGAGGAGCCGGGTTGAAAACATGAGATGTATTAACTTGAGCCATGGGACTTTCAGGTCCATTTCTTTCTCTGTAATGTCCATCAACTGAATAATCAAAATATGAAAATTGTTTAACAGTGCAAAACCCTAAAAGCAGCCTGTGGGAGAAATTCTTCCAATTCCTTTTGCAGTCCATTTTTTACACACCAAGTATAAACAGTAAACCTCAATTGATGGTTTAACTAACATGTATAAAATGCGTGGATATTTTGCAAGTTGCAAAGTAAATTTCTGGGCCCTGTAGAGGCAGGGAAAATAGAAACAATAAGCAAAATGTCCACTCGTATCACACATGTACATTTAATAAGGGATTTATTATTCCACTATTGTTTCATTTTCTAGTCTTTTGGCTTTTAGTTTTCTAAACTTTGCACTGTGTTATCTGAGCATAGTACCAATTCCATGAGGTATCTGTGAAATATAAAAACAGCATAAAAGAAACCATTTCCTGTAAAAACCCACAGATAAGCTGCACTCTGAATTTAGCAGCTTGAATTTTAGAAAAAAAATTTTTTTGTAAGAAATCAAAAGAAATCCAAAGTTGAGTCTTGAGAAGTCTTCTTCATCCACTGTTCATCAAACATAAATTCACTATTAACATTGCAATGGAAAATACTTCAAAGTTTTACCCACAATTTTAGCACTTTTAATACAATGAATATCGTTTCTACCAACTTTGACATATGATCGATCTTTTTCTCATATTTGTTGACAGGAATTTCTTCATTCAACACAGTTTTTCCATAGATTTTTGCATTACAACAAGAACCTAAATTTTGTTGTTCTTTTCTACATGTTAAAATTTAATGTCAATACATGTACAGCTACAATACACTGCACTACCTGGCCTGTTATCATGGGTGGGGGACATCATAGGACCCTTGTAGCTGGCTGGTCGACCATTAATGGCTGGCTTTGGTGATGGTGACGTTGGACTACCTCTTGGTGATCCAGCACTTATTCGCTTGGCTAAAGAGACAATGAAAAAGAAATAATTATCGCATGCACTTCAGAGTCATCGCAATATCATATCTTAGAAAATGACAATTAAAACAACTCTTATCCTTGTCTACCTTGTAAATAAAGAAAGAAGAGAGATCAAAACAACAGACCAAAATGGCCCAAATGTAACACCAGCTTCGAGAATTAAACACAAACTACATTGCACACAAATGTGTATTTCATTTCAACTCAGAAAAGTAAATAATGAAAACCTGACAGCTAGCTGTATCACTACCAAACACAGGTCACCAAATTGGCAACTTTCACCGCAAATTTATAGGCTTAACCCTTTAACTCCCAAGATCTTGATGTTAATTCTCCCCTTTAGCTGCTTCACATTTCCTTGTAAATTAGTTATATGAATTTGGTGTTAGATCAAGATAGCAACTTCTACCTGATAAGTTTGAGTATTCTTGCAACCTGTTTGCTGGGTAATGTAAGAATATTATAGAGAGAGGTTTCATGTTAATCACTTCTGAGCTTAAGGGTTAACTCTGGTTTTCAAATAAGAGCAATGACAAAGAATTGCGATGATTGTGCCATAAAGCAAAATATGAGATACATGGTGTCTTTCAGTTTTAAATTTCTTGTTTTGTTTCAAAATATTTTAAAAAAATGCAACACCAAACTCATTGCAATTTCCTTCATTGTCATACTAAAATACACAAAAACTAAATTGCAAAGATGGTAACAAATTTAGCAATATCAAGATGAAAAGTAGATTTTGCACAGCAGATAATACACATGAATGCAGATGTAAATCATGAGGGTTTTAAATAATTTATTCAATTTTAACCAAGTTTAAAAAAACATATACGAACAAATTGACTTTAGTTCTCATTTTAGAAGACAAGTCAATGGAATGTATTAAAATGGTATAATTTGAGATTATTTTCATACTTAAAACTTCTTCCTGTAAATAAACAAGCATCTCATCTGTTTTCTTTTGGCACGTGCACTCCACTTAAAAACACGTGCAATAAAAATTTTTATTATCTAACAGGACTTTGGAAACCACAAGCACCTCCAAACAAAAGAAGTGAAACAATAAAATTCTGTACAGATTAACATATATTTATAGCTATTCTACATTGTACTTCTGTTATTTTAGTTTAAGCAATTCCAATTGATATGAATCTAAACAATGCCAGAAATGGAAGAAATTTAAAGACTCTAGAAGAGAATTCTTAAAGGAATGTTCACTGAACAACTCACAACATTGAGATTACTATTTCATGTTCCCATCAGGGGGTAGCTTTTTGTTTTGCATCAGGCAGATTTTTACATTTTAAACTGTAAATTTATAAAATACCCAATAAACTGCAGCAGGTTAAAACCTAGTTATTAACATTTGATAACATTTTAGCAAACTATACAATTACAAGATTACCTTAATTCCCTATTTTGCCTCTTTTGATGATAATTAAAACCATGTTAATAATTTTTCCTTAGAACCAAGTTTCTACACAAGAAAATTGCAAATATATTTTCTGTTCCTTATTTAGTTCAAGATATGACAGGCCAGATTGCAATTTTACATCCAATGGTTAGAAATATCTTCAATTAAATATTATAATAATAATAATGGTGATTATTGAATTAACATAGGCCAGCTGCAAGGTGCAAAGGGAGAAAGAAAAAGAAAGTAAGAAAGAGAGCCTACTGACACAGGACAACAGCTGCCAATGTCCTCTCTTTCAATTACTATTATTTACATGTAGTTTGTCGAAAAATTGCAAAGTCCTTTACCCTAGGTCGTGCTACAATGATCAAGACCATGGAAAATATTTACACTTGGATAAACTGAGCAAACATTCATTCGTTGCTTTTGCTCTTGTAAATTTCAAATGCAAAATTTACTGGTTTTGTGAACACACTGTGATCTCGCTCTTCTATTTAGCTCTGTATTGTTTTGAGAATGGAAAAATAAACGAAAGGGCTTTTTCGATTACTCAAAACTGACCAGAAATCAACCACAAGTAACGTACATTTTAAATCAAAGGCAAGGCAATCACACGACCAAGAGGGGATTATTTGACCTTGAAATATCTTACTAATAATAATCAAAAAAGGATAAAATGAAAAATTATTTAATTTCAAACTTGGGGCTCTGTAAATTTAGTAAATTTCAAACTCCGTTTGGACTTACCTGTAGGATCAGAAGGATAATGTATTGGGTTGCTCAAATTTTCCAATAAACTGTCCAACTCGGAAAGATTTTGACCCAAACTCGATGAAGGAACAGGTGGAGGGAACAGTATATCGTCCTTGGGATTCGATCCATGAGGATCGAGAGCTTCGAACGAGGGAGGAGGAGGCAAAGGTGGCGGGTTATCGGGCGATTCTCGTCCATTCGATGCTTGTCTGCCTCTGGATTCCGTCGGCGATGCGGAAACTGTGGGACTTGTAGCTTGGAGATCCGCCAGTAGTGCATCTAAAAATTCAATATTCTGTTTCAGCTTTTCTTCGATAGAGGGTTTCCTCGTTTTTCCCGGCATATCAATTTTAATTCGCAATTCTCGGCGTCAGATCCAGCTATCGGGTTCAAAGTTTTTATCGGGTTTTAAACATTCATTCACAATACCGCGTGTCGCAGAATGACATGTGTGCCATGCTGTCGGATGTAGATGCCATAATTTACCTCACCAAAGCACAATAAAATTACACAAAGCGATATAAATTATTCAAAAGCAATATTGACAAGTGTTTTAAAGACACGACAATCCCCCCATCGTTACGCAGTAGATCGCTCGCCAAACCCGTTAGTTGAAACAAATACCAACTCAAGCGGGCACCTCACAATCGAAACTATTAAATATGCTGAATCACCAATGAAAAGAGGACGTCCAAGTGAGATCTATTCAAAAAAGTTTGGATAGTATTATAATCCCTCGTCGTATGGAATAGGGAATCTCAAAGTTTATTTTCACAGAGGAATCGGATGAGATCGGAATGTAGATACGAAAGTTCTCCTGCGTCGGAACAAAATTGAGAGTACGTGAGACGTGAACTTTGAATGTGACTTGAGAACAGCTGAAATTGCACCAAAACAATCAAAGCATTACCAGAACTTCCTATTACAAAATTAACATAATCAAAGTCATTGATTTACATAGATGCGAAAATTCAAATCTTAAGTCAGATTTTGCCACCAAATTTCACAGCATTTTGATGAATGACTTTCATTGCATTCCAATATAAGCTACCCTTGAAATAAAAATTCCTGTGCTGTTTACAAAGTATCACAAACAAGTTAACGAGCACGATTCCTTCGCAGGGTTTTCAAGATCAAAATGGCAATTAAAAACAGGATTCAATTTCTCACAAGACGCTACAGCTTTCGCAAGAACCACAACAGATTAAGAAAGACGATCAATTAACCAAAGTGCTACTATTTACAGAAAATCACACATACCCAAGTCTTCCATAGCAACTTAGTCGAGTGAACTTCGTATATCCACTTAGCAGCAAATCACTGCACCCGTCAAACGATCAATCCAACAAAATTCAAGAGTCACAAAGCTTCAACGCTCTCCTAGACTTCACAGTTCAGCCCTATTCGTTCGATGTCTGAAGTAATCGTAACGTATCGGAATGCTTCGGAATGAGTCGGCTGTCTATTTGTGTCGATCATACCGAAACCTTAGTGAATAGTTGGCATACCTCTTCTACATTCCATTAACATATTTGGAAGAAAACGGAAGTTGGGTGGATTAAAGCACATAGCGACTTCTGACGTAAGGATCATGCACACACGTAAGAAGATTAATTTTTAATTGGCTAATTTTTATTCATCCATACAATACAAGGGTTCTAGTAATGCGATTTTAGCTCACATAAACATAGCACAAATTTGTCGCTAATTAGTTGCATCAAATAGACAGGCGATTAGCCGTTGCATTTGATTAACGTCGAAGACAATAGGAGAGGCAAAAGTTTTCAGCTTCAGAAAATTTACTTCCTAAAATGTTTACAAATCGGACAGATTAAAAACAAAGGAATTGCGTCATTGGTATACAAACGCCTCACTTTAAAGGGGAAATTTGAGCTAATTAACGCTTAACCTAAGGAGAGCATTTATGACCCGTGAAACGGGTTGCATGAAAACTGGAAGAAATACGTTGGGAAACTTGAAGAACTTAACTATTCTTTCTTGTTGAAAGGAATGATTAGATGATTTTTTTTCTTGCTTTTTTGCTATAAAGTGCCAGTAAAGCCATGTACTGATAAGAAGTAATAACTAAGGAAAGTTCTGAAATTTTTTTGGTCCACAGGAGGTAGAGTTTCAACAAGGCCCTTGACTGGATTTGATAAAATGACCTGTGTTTAAGGACCAGATGACATTTAAAACTGACCTTCAAGCCTTTAGGGCTCAACCTTTGCACATGGCTAGTGATTAAAATTAAACATGCTATTCAAAAGAAAAAGGAAAGATAAAAGGTAAAAATGAAATAGGATAATTGGGTGAGTCTGTACAACCTTTCCAAATCTAACTTGCTCTTTTGAAGAAGTGATCTCTGTTAAATCTTAACAATGTCATACATAATGAATTAGTGATAATGGAACTAATCCTTCAGAAAGTGGTACTGATGAGGAGACTAAAGATAAAGACTTCCGTGAAAGTCATTAGTATAATTTCCTTATAAAATCTGTGTTGTTCTTTTTAGAGAGGTCTATCCCTTTTATCCTTAAAAATGTAATAATTTTGGAAATGTGTTTTGTTTTAATAAAAATTAAGCTGAAATGACCAGAAGGGGTGGATGGCTCCAAAAGTGGGTCATACAGGGGTGCTCCTCCAAAAATGGTCTATTCCAAGGGCTGAAGATTTCAAGACCTAAGGAAAAGAAGAGGGTAGACAAAATGAAGAAGCTATACACTTTTGGGAGAACACACCTGAAGGCAACACATGGGAAATGGAAAATGTTTGTAGCTTGGCAAGAAATTTACATTCTCTCTTTTGAGCTACAGAGATCAAGACACTAAGGGGATCACATGCCTAAGGGATAGTTTAAAACTCCTTTTTTTTCTCAGGTTGCTTCAAAAAATTTCTTCCAGGCCTAGGACATCCTGCACACCAAAGTTCATAGCTATAACATAGATAAACAACACTTGAGTCATAGTGGCCTCATGATTAGAACACTGGGTTCTGGATATCATGGTGCAGGACAGGGTCATTAGTTTGACCAGAAGTCCAGTGTGCTAACCAGTAGGCCAGTAGTGGGGCAAAACACGTAACAGTTCTTTATTTTCAGTCTCTCTCTCCATGCAGAAGTATAAATGGATTGATGGATAAGTTCCTAGCAGCATATTTTAGATGCTTCAGGAGAATTTCAGTGTCCATATTGGACTTCCATCTTCTTGTAGTAATGCAAAAGGATTAAGGTGAAGTCTTTATGTGAGCTTATACAATTTTTTCTTTTCAAGGACAACAGACAGCTTCTTTAGTTTATAGTTCATTAATTCTGACCCTATTATTTTTACCAAAACATTCTTCTTTTGGTGATTATTTACACCCTTACAATTTTCCTCCCTTCTCTCTCATTTTTCATAATTTTCCTCTAACAAATGAAAGAAACATTGTCCCTGCTTTACTGGTCTTTTCTAGTATGACCCTTTACTGTTCTCCTGATGATATAAGAGAATTTTTCAACATTAGTGTTTTACCTTTACCTTCAGGGCATACTCCTATCATGAGTCCACAATTTTGAGGGTAAAGTGATGTTATGGACTGCATTCAGTTCATGCATTGCTTGCATTTGTTCATAATCTCAACTGCTGGAAATGGAATCTTGTAGAGATCTAAATAACAATATCTTTCCAGCGAAGGAACAAGAACCCCAACCACCCTTTATGCTTCCAGCACCCATGACCTGCTATTTCATTCTTATGAACTGCAGTCTCTTTAGTTCAATCATCACTATTTAAAATATGTTGTCAATTGAATCAGTTTTTGCATGGCTTTTCCCATTATTGAAAATGTTAATACATGGCGATATTGGCATCAGAACAGTGAGTCAATACATTAAATATTGCCTTCACTGGTAAATGAAAAACATCAATATCTCTATATGCAATTTATACTCTTCCTTTGCTGAATATCATGATTCAGCTTTCCGTGTAGCAACTCAGATGTAAGACAATCAAAATGAATGAGAGAGAGCTAAAATACAGAGAAGAGAGTTCATTCTCTCTCTCTTACATGTGTCTGATTACTTGCTCACAACTGCTGTTTCACATCACTCGTACCTCGTTAAATGAAGTACCAGTATAGTGCAACTTTTGAATAATGTTTTAGTCAAGATTAATTTGTTTCTTCTTCTAAACTGAAGAAAAGGATCCATCATGTCAAAGATTACACTTTAAACCTTACATACACATCACAGTTTTGCTACAAAGGTTTGTTAACAAAGACTTGTACTTCAATTCAAGCTTAAAACTGTCCCATTAACATTGTTTATTTTTACCAATTCAGACATAAATACTCTTGTTTATCTTAATTCAAAGAGCACATTTTAAGTGCTCTTACAATAATTTTCATTATTTGAACAATAACATTGCCCCACCACCATCCTTATCAAATACTGCCTTATTAACATCCAAGTCCCAACTGAATGTCCCCCTTCACCAAAATAGATAATCACTGGCCAGTTTTAAATGAGAAAGAGAAGTTGAAATATTAATTAAATACAAAAATACAGTCATTGCACTAAACAGTTGGCTGACAGAAATCTCAAAAGTTCTATTCTAACATAATAGGGACACCTATTCACACAAAGTTCAGTTTGTTTTTAGCAATATAACCACCTTCTATCTCCAACAAAGCCAAATGTTTTATTAAAACATCGATATTTATCATCAGTGTCAGGAAAGCTTGCGGTGAAAAGAACTAGAAAAAATTTAATTACGTCATGACAACTCATTTATTCTTATGAAGAAAACTGGATGTCTATTGATTATCTTAAATTGAAGCCTTTAGACCTCCTTTGAACGACTGGTTCATACCTCCTATCCCACAGCCATGTTCCAAAATCCCTGAGTAGTTCAAATTCAAATTAACCAGTCCATATTTACCTTACATTCTGCACTTATTATTGCACCTGAGAGGTTTCCAAATTATTTTTTTGATAAAATTCTTCCACAACTTCTAAATTTGCCTCCAAGAGATCAACAAACTCTTTCATTTCCCTCAACACAGTTTCTTCATCTACTTTATTACGACCAAGTTTGTCAATGAAGTCTTTACGGTAAGGCACAGCCTTCAAGGCAAGCTACAGGTAGAAAAGAAAAAAAAGATACATTGTCCTCTTATAATTTAATATATAAATAGGAAATAGGATAGGAAGTTGCTCAACTAAGCAGGAAAACGTCTGATCTTTTAAAGTGTCAGATTTACTACCATCTAAAATTAGACAGTCATTCTAACAGTCAAATGCTACACTGTATCAAGATCTCATGAAAACATGACTTGGACTTCAAAACAGTGACAAAACAGACTTTCATTCCTTTTTTTCTTTCAGTTAAATAAATGTTAGTGAAATAAATGATTAAATTTTTAAAACTTTATCAACAGGTGAACAGTATCAAGGACAGCACAAAGCATCATACACCTGCATATCATTAGACCTTCACAGTATTTTCAATTTTGTATCACTCCTCTTAGTGAGCTAAATTGAGGATACTCCAATTATTGCTTGGACAGACAGGCACTGCACAACGTATATCAACCAAGAACGAAAAGTCAAGAATGTGATATAAACAAGCACTTTATGATACAGATTACAAACCAAGTGACATCTCTCTTAAGTGCAAACACACAAGGCTTAGTGATACGAGACATGGATCCAGCACACTTATCACTTCAAAGACTGTACTTAATTATTCCAAGAAAAATATACTGTAACTATTTCCAATTCTTCCCAGTTGCAGTGTTAAAGATTTGGACTCAACAGAGATTTGAGTCATTTTGGATGAGAATCTGCATAAATTTCAAGCTTGGAGCCACATTGGTGTGACACAGTGAGCTTACTGAGTTGACGTCAATCTCTTCCTGTTCAATCCCTACCCAACTAGGGTGCTGTCTGAGGTTTGACCTGTGAAATTTCACACCCCTTACGTAGCTGTTCAGAGAATGGGCCGTTTACTGCATCCTATTAGTTACAACATGTTTTGATCATTTCCACACAGTTCTAACCAATCAGAGAAGATCTCCTGAGCTCCATGGCCCTACGTCATCAATTTGGAATGCACAGTGTCTAACCACAAACATTTCTTGAAGGCAAAATGTAAATTTACAGAGAGAAAGGCCTTTGTTGTGTATACTCAGAAAAGTGGTGATCAGTGCTTAGAGCAATACCATGAGGTTGGGGAGTGAAAAGCCACCAAGCTAGGCTACAAATTCTGGTTTACAAGTCCCAATCAAACTCACAGGGGTAGTCTAGGATAGCTCTAGAAAGATCTTCAATGGGAGTGCCTACAGCTTAACATCAACACTGTTTGTGCTTGAAGCTTTCTTCTTGTTGTTGTTGTCCCATACAATGAGTAAAATGATGTTTTCAAGTGAATACTTCACAACTGAGGATCTTCACAACTTTCTATGAGCTTGTTGGTGTTCAAGTTGGGAAGTTGTGAGGAATCAGGGATCT